CCCCCAGCACAAAAAACACAGAGCAGCCCTCTCCCCAGACTGAGAGTTCCCATCTATACCTTGTGGCTAATAGCCACTGATGGACCTCTGCTCCATATGCTTATCCAGTTCCCTCTTGAAGCCGTCCATGCTTGTAGCCGCCACCACCTCCTGTGGCAGTGAATTCCATGTGTTAATCACTCTTTGGGTGAAGAAGGACTTCTTTTATCCATTCTAACCCGTCTGCTTAGCAATTTCATGGAGTGCCCATGAGTTCTTGTATTGTGAGAAAGGGAGAAAAGTACCTCTTTCTCTACCTGCTCTATCCTATGCATAATCTTCGAAACCTCGATCATGTCACCCCCTCAGCTGTCGTTTCTCCAAGCTAAAGAGCCGCAAGCGCGTTAACCTTTCCACACTACATCTTAAATCCTTTCTGTGCTAGACCTTAAATCTTGGTTCAACCCTGTCCCCGAACTTACATTCTACACTACACACGAGTTCACCCCTGTAATTATCTTGGGATATTTTTTTTGTTTCCACATCACATTGAGGTGACCCCCGTTTTTGCCCCACCCTTGTCCCGGGATTAACGGATGCTGTTGTAACCAGGGATAAATGCAAGGTATTGTGTCCCGAGTTGAACTCTGATAAAACCAGGGATGAGATCCAAGTGCGGAAAGGACCCTAATGTCTCTTTTTCCTTCTTAGTGTACGGTGAAGGCCTTATATGACTACAAAGCCCAGCGCGAGGACGAGCTTTCGTTCTGCAAACAGGCCATCATTCACAACGTCGACAAGCAGGATGGCGGATGGTGAGTCCCACGAGGGAGCCCCTGAACACACGTGTGAATCTGACCATTGGCCCGTCACGCCCAGTATTGTTGCGGACAGAGATCTTTCGTATCACCTGCCACGAGATCCATTTAACGGGGGACGCTCTACTGCCTGAGCCTCAGCCAGAATAACCCAGGTTTCCATTAAGTAGAGCTTTGCTCTCCGAGGCCTAGCTCTGGATCCCTGATTCGAGAGCAAACTGCACGTCGCTGAAATGATGGTGGTCCCAACTCAGGTGTCCTGGTGAACCGCAGTTTACCCAGGAAAGGGAGTGGGGAGCGTATATGCAAGAGTCAGGTGGAAGGAAAGAAGGGAGGAAAAGGAAAGGAAGGAAAGGAGGAGGGAAGAAGGAGAGAGAGAGAGAAGGGAGGAAGGAAGAGAAAGAAAGAAAGAAAGAAAGAAAGAAAGAAAGAAAGAAAGAAAGAAAGAAAGAGGGGAAGGAGGGAGGGAGGAAAAAGGAAGAGAGAGAAGGGAGGGAGGAAGAGAGATAGAGAGAGAAGGGAGGGAGGGAGGAAAGAAGGAAGGAGGGAAGGAAGGGATAGAGAGAAAGGAGGGAGAGTGACAGAAGGAAGGCAGGCAGGAAGGAAAGGCCCATCTAGGGATGGAGATGACTGTTTCCCCCGCCTCCTTCCCGTGCCTGACCTTTCTTGTTTCTGAACGCTCAGGCTTAGGACTGGGCGGCCCTCCCAAGATTGGATGTATCTCCTCCCTCCCCATATCCATATACACCTCCACCCACCCACCCCCAAATCTGCAACCAGGGGTTACCATGGTGACGCCTGATGTATCGGGCTATTGATCACAGAAGCCAAACGCTGCCTGTCCACTCCCGAGTTCTGCAGCGATCGCACATTCCTCTTTCTAACCATGGGCCTAAATCAATATCAGACACTGTTTATTCCGGATGACTATTTCTCCTCTGGCAGCCTTTCCCCCCCCCTATTCTCGTGTGTCCCTGACTTCCATCTCCCCCTGCCCCTTACGCCGAGCTCGAAGGCACTGCATAGAACAGCCCTTCCGGGGGTATTCTTGGGTGATCAGTCAGGAGGAAAAACCCTATAGCTCAGGATAAAACAGCGCTGTAAGGGCCAGAGCAAACCCAGCGCGCTCGCAGGTCTCCTGTGACAGCTCCAGAATTAATTGGGATTAATTAGCGCTCTCCGTAGCACTGGGGGGAAGATCAGCTTGTTTAAGGGGTCAAGTTTGAAGCCCCCGGGGCTGCGGGGAGCAGGTTGCAAATTAGGGATGCCGGCCTCCAGGTGGGACCCGGGGATTCCCTGGAATTACAGCTCACCTCGAGATGGCAGAGATCAGTTCCCTTGGAGAAAATGGATGCTTTGGAGGGGGGACTCTGGACATCGTACCCCACTGAGGTCCCTGTCCTCCCCAGGCTCCACCCCCAAATCTCCAGGAGTTTCCCAACCTGGAGCTGGCAACCCTCCCCTCCCCATTCCCCTAGACTTGCTGGAGTCAGCGACCATTTTTTTAAAAAATGAACAAAGCAGGTTCCTAGCGGCTCTTTGCATGTGGCACGCTCGTTCGGCAGTGCCTCTCCTAACCGCTCCTTCTCTGTTTCCCACCCCAGCTGTTCCCTGGCCACCGCATGCCGTGTTGGCACCCAAATGCTCCCCCAAGTCAGTCTGCTTGCCTTGTTCCCATTACCCCTTTCAGGTGGCGAGGAGACTACGGGGGCAAAAAGCAGCTCTGGTTTCCAGCCAACTACGTGGAGGAGATCATGAACACCTCAGTGCCGGAGCAGGATGAAGCTGTGAGTTCGAATCCTTCCCCCTTTCCCCCATGAAACGTAAACGTTCAAACCGACACTGCCCCCACCCACCCCCAGTTAGATCTTGGATTTTTAAAAAGATCATCTCTCTTATAACCAGTACCTACATCCGATCAAATTGACAGTCCAGCGGCACCTTTAAGACCAACAAAGATTTATTCAAGGTGCATGACGCACGAAAGCTCACACCTTGAATAAACCTTTGTTGGTCTTAACGGTGCCCCCACTGGGCTCAAAATTTGTCCTGCTGCTTCAGACCCACACAGCTGACCACCTGGCAATATCTGCATTGTTTACAAGCCAGTTTAACTGTCGTTGCCTTTGGTGAGGGCTTTCCTCTCAGCCAAGCATGCCACGCCCCGTTCGTGTTCCACTTTTTGAGACTCTCGCCTTGTCATGTCTTTGTATGAAGAAAGATATATTTTTTGGATAATACCAGAGGACTACAATTCCCAGGAGTCCTTGGGAGGAGGTAAACATTTCAGAAACATTAATAAATGTGACTAATGCAGATCTTTGGTTTTGGAGAAGAGAGGCGTGCAGAAAGACGATGACCCGTATCGGCATTCGGTCGTCGGTCCTTGCCGCCTGACTGGTCTTCTGCGCCTTTTCTAGAGTACTCCAAATTGTGAAATGCTTTCATCTTTTGCTTTTGAGATTACAATTGGCAACAGAGGTTCATCAGCACTGACAGAGCACTCCTCTGTGTATGGCACCTGGACACGGCGAGATCCCTGGTTCAGTGGTAGCTGGGTGCCAGCCAGAAGGACCACATTGTGCACCTGTGCATTTATAGTAAGAGCCAGGGCTCTTTTTGTAGCAGGTACTCAGTAGCTCCTGTAAGGGACCTCCACGGTACGTCTGCTGGTGCAACTGCGCGTTATTTTGCCCTGGGGCAAACAGCCATGCCTTCCCCCCGCAATATCCGGCCCATGTGACCGGGGCCCATGTTTTGTATAGGATTGGGTCCTTTACAGTGAGGCCTCTAAGGTGTGGCTGGACTCGAATGTAGCTCATCAGGTGAGAAATTTCAGGAGGACGGCCATCTTGGTCCCCCGTCAAAGTCAGGTTCAAGTCCAGGAGTACCTGAGAGACCAACCAGATTTCCAGGAGATTAACTTTTGACACTCAGACCTCCCTTGGTCAGGATCAGGTGTGAAGACCCCACTCATTCAGCGTTGTCAGTGTCCCATTCCTGCGCCTCCGCGCCCAGTGGCATGAGTCTGTATCACGCCGAAGTGATTCCCTCTGTGTGTGGGAGAAAGAGAGACCAGAGTTTTAAGCTTCACCACAAGAAACAGCAAGAAAACACGACATCGGTATTTAACCATCGGTCCATCAAAGTCAGTATTGCCCACTCAGACTGGCAGCGGCTCTCCAGGTTGAGGTCTTTCACATCACCTCCTGCCTGGTTCTTTTTAGTGGAGATGCCAAGGGTTGAACCCGGGTAAGGACCTTCCTCTCACCAAAATACTAGAACTCGTGGGGGATCCATTGCACTGATGGGCAGTAGGTTCAGGACTGGCAAAAGGAAATACTACTTTACGCAGAGAGTAATTGAAAGGTGGAATTCGCTGCCAGAGCTTGCAATGATGGCCACAGGAATAAATAGCTTTAGAAGGGGATGAGAGTTTCACAGAGGAGAAAGTCTGTCAGTGGCTAGCTACTAGCCCTGGTGACTGAGGGGAACCTCCACATTCAGGGGCAGTAGGCCTCTGAATCCCAGAGCCAAGAGGCAACATCAGGGGGAAGGCCTCATCCTTCCATAGAAAGTCTTAATCAGTGTTCCCTCTAAGCTGAGTTAGTGCGAGCCAGCTCACAGTTTTTTAGCCTTTGGCTCACACCTTTTTGTCTCGGCTCAGGGAGGAGGGCTCCGGAGCAAACTAATTTCTGCAGCAGCCAAATCACAGCTTTAATGCCAGGAGCTCACAAAGTAGAATTTTTGCTCACAAGACTCCACAGCTGAGAGGGAGCCTTGAACATAATAAGAACATAGGAGACGCCAATGTTGGATCAGGCCAAAGGCCCATCTAGTCCAACACTCTGTGTCACACAGTGGCCAAAAATACCAGGTGCCCTCAGGAGGTCCACCAGTGGGGCCAGGACATTAGAAGCCCTCCCACTGTTCCCCCCGCCAGCACCAAGAAGACAGAGCATCCCTTGCCCCAGACTGAGAGTTCCTATCTATGCCTTGTGGCTAATAGCCACTGATGGACCTCTGCTCCATATGTTTATCCAATTCGTAAGAACATAAGAGAAGCCAATGTTGGATCAGGCCAGTGGCCCATCCAGTCCAACACTATGTGCCACACAGTGGCCAAAAATACCAGGTGCCATCAGGAGGTCCACCAGCAGGGCCAGAACTCCAGAAGCCCTCCCACTGTTGCCCCCCAAGCACCAAGAAGACAGAGCATCACTGCCCCAGACAGATTCCACCAGTGGGGCCTTCCACTAGGAAGTCTCCACTTTTGAAAGCACCCTGACTTTGTCCATAAAGGGAGGAAGACCACCTGGCTTCCTCCCTTCCATAGCTCTCTAGGGTAGCTTAGCACCACTTGGATTCCACCCACACTTTGCATGGCCCCAATTATCATCCACACGGTCCCGTTCCACCCGTGGAAGTGGAAACACAAAGTGAATGCTCTCAGGTGTGCTTAACGTGAGCAGTGAGTCTCCCTCGCAGGGTTGGTTAGAAGAGTCACAGCAGGACAGTGTATGTGAAGCGCCTCCAATGCACAAGAAGCAGTAGGTAAAGGCTGAGGATTATTGTTATCCTAGTTAAGGAAGGATCCTCTAAGACCTGCTGTACTCTCCAAAATGGTAGCGATAGAATCAAACAAGAGTTGGGAGGGGTACCTAGAGGCCATCTAGTCCAACCCCCCTGCTCAATGCAGGACCAGCCTAGAGCATCCCTGACAAGTGTCTGTCCAGCCGCTGCTTCAAGACTCCCATCGAGGGGGAGCTCAACACCTCCCTCGGCAGCTGGTTCCACGGTTGCACAACTCTGTCAAAACGTTTTCCCTAAGGTCCAGCCGGTACCTCCTCGCCCTTAATTAAAACCCATCCCTGCGAGTCCTCTCCTCTGCTGCCAACAGGAACAGCTCCCTGCCCTCCTCTAAGTGACAGCCCTTCAGATATTTAGAGAGAGCGATCAATGTCCCCCCCTCCACCTCCTCTTCTCCAGTCTGAACATTCCAAAGTCCCTCAGCCTTTCCTCGTAGGGCTTGGTCTCCAGGCCCCCCATCATCTTTGTTGCTCTCCTCTGCATCCGCTCCATTCTGTCCACGTCCTTTCTGAAGTGAGGTCAGTACTGCCTACTCAGACTGGCAACGGCTCTCCAGAGTTCCAGGCAGAGGTCCTTCCCATCACCTCCTGCATGACCCTCGTAGGTCTTGGTCTCCAGGCCCCCGATCATCCTCATTGCCCCAAGCCACATGTTCCCTTCCCCTGTGCTAGTCATCTGTGTCCCGTGTCCGTCTGCCCCCATCCCTACCCATAGCTTGAAGAGCAGGACCGGCTGGTTCTCTAGCCTGCTCGGTGGAGAAGTCCTACGCTGAGGCCATTTCCAGTAAAGGCCCCCTCCCTCTGGTGTCCTTGTAGTTATCTCCAAAGACGGGAGGAGCTCCAAACCATTTGTCTTCACCATCCATTCTCAGCAGATGACCCAGCCTTCCCAGTCACTGGACATTGCCGCAGACACCCAGGAAGAGCTCAACGACTGGGTGGCCAAGATCCGGGAAGCCACGCAGAATGCGGACGCCAGGGTGAGTCTCTCGGGAGGGGTCCCGACTGGAGCGATTTTTTTTCAGTCTTGGGTTGGGGGTTTCGAAGGAGCAGTTGATCTCAGGGTGTGGGGGGACAAGAAGATAGTGAGCAAAAAGGATTAAGGGGAAAGAAAAAAGCATTCAAAGAAGGAAGAGAGAGGCAGAGACAAGATGGAGGGAGGATTCAGAAGGGACGACGTTTGTCTCAGATTTTCAGAGGACCATAGCTCTGACTTCAACAGAAGAAGAAGACGCTTCACTACCCTAGGGAGTCTCAGAGTGGTTTACAAACTCATTTCCTTTTGCTGTTTGGTGGAGCGGTTAGGAGCGCGGATTCTAATCTGGGAGAACCGGGTTTGATTCCCCACTCCTCCACTTGCACCTGCTGGATGACCTTGGGTCAGTCACAAGTTCTCTCAGAACTGTTCTGGAAAGAGCAGTTCTCATCCAGAGCTCTCTCAGCCCTGCCTACCTCACAGAGTGTCTGTTGTGGGGAGGGGGAGGGAAATGAGTTTGTAAGCCACTCTGAGACTCCCTAGGGTAGTGAAGCGTCTTCTTCTTCTGTTGCAGTCAGAGCTATGGTCCTCTGAAAACCCATGCCAAAGAAGCAGGTGACAGAGGACAGACCTCTGAAGCAGTGTTCCCTCTAAGCTGAGTTAGTGTGAGCTAGCTCACAGTTTTTAAGCCTCCGGCTCACACATTTTTGTCTTAGCTCAGGAAGGGATGGCTCCAGAGCAAACTAATTTATGCAGCAGCCCAAGCGCTCGCTCACAACTTTAATGCCAGTCGCTCACAAAGGAGAATTTTTGCTCACAAGACTCCAGAGCTTAGAGGGAACATTGCTCTGAAGTATATTTGAAAAAGAAGAGGGACAGATTTTGCCTTACATACTGTCAAAGATGGCCTTTCTGTGGGGTCCTAGTAAGGACCCAGTAAGTAAGTAGTAAGCTGCGGTGGCTCAAGTGGTTAAGACGCTGAACTGCAGGCTGTGGAAGGTCAGTAGTTCAGCAGTTTGAGACCCGAGTGTGCCGCATGACGGAGTGAGCTCCCGTCCCTAGTTCCAGCTCCTGCCAACCTAGCAGTTCGAAAGCAAGAAATTGCAAGTAGATAAATAGGTACCACTTTGGTGGGAAGGTAACAGCGTTCCGTGCGCCTTGGTGCTTAGTCATGCCGGCCACATGACCACGGAATCATCTTCGGACAGCACTGGCTCTTCGGCTTTGAAACGGAGATGAGCACCGCAACCCTAGAGTCGGACTCGACTGGCTTTCGAGCAAGGGAACCTTTACCTTTACCTATTTAAGGACCCAGTGCAAGAAAAATCCCAGTTCCCTGAGTTATATCTGCTAAGCCCCAACTAGAAAGAGAACAGTTCAGGCAGGAAAGCTTATTGTGATGTGGCTAAAACATGGAATCCAGTTAGGCCTGATTACATGATTGAATTATAAAAATATAATTCATTAGCTGGCTTGGTGGCCCTTGCGAGGGCTGTAAGGCAGACTATACCTTTTCCACCTTTCATTAAAAAATATATAACATTTTTGACGGTCGAAGATTAGCAGAAACTTCCTGAGAGCAGTTTGATAGTGGGATCTCGAGGGTGGGGGCGGGCTCTCCCTCCCTGGAGGCCTTCTGGGAGAAGCTGGGCAGCCATCTATGTCTAGGCTGCTCCAGCACTGGATTTCCTCCAGTGAGCAGGAGGGATGGACTAGATGGCCTCTGAGAGCCCTTCTGTCTCTAGGTCTGTTCTCAACTGTCTGTCTGTCTTTCCCTGACACACATGAAGCTGCCTTATACTGAATCAGACCCTCGGTCCATCAAAGTGCTGTCTGCTCAGACTGCCAGCGGCTCAGGCAGAGGGTCTTTCCCATCACCTGCTGCCTGGTCCTTTTCACTGGAGAAACCAGGGACCGAACCTGGGACCGTCTGCATGCCAAGCAGAGGCTCTGCCACTGAGCCACGTCCCCGTCCCCAAATCAGTACTGTGTGTTCAGCCTGGCAGCGGCTCTCCAGGGGTCTCAGGCAAAGGTCTTTTGCATCACCTCCTGCCTGGTTTTTCTAACTGGAGATACCAGGGATTGAACCTGGGGCCTTCTGCATGCAAAGCAGAGGCTCTCCCACTGAGCCACAGCCCTCCCCATAAGTGGAGTTATTTGGTTACGGCCAGGGGTCATTTCGTAGAAAAAGAGGTGCAGGAGCTCATTAGCATAACTTATTTGCATAACTTATTTGCATATGCCACACCCCCTGACATCACCGGAAGTGTGTCAGAAGGGAACACTATTGGGGGGGGGGAACGTGCAGATCTGTCCTCACAGAGGAGGGAGAGCCTGTACCTGAATAAAACTTGGTCTTAAAGGTGCCACTGGACTGTTTTGGATTGCTAGCTATGGGGGGGGGGAGCATGCAGATCTGCCCTCACAGAGGAGGGAGAACTTGTACCTGAAGGCGGGCCGG